ATTTTGACTGATATCGGATCAATTTGTACAAAAACAAAATAAGCTGCTTCTGCTTTTTAAACAAATAAAAAAAAAGTTTTAAACTGAGAACCTACCTAAAGCAGACGTGACTGTTGTTACTGCAGGTCAGAGAACCTACGACGAGTCTCTGTTTAACTTGTGAAAACATTTGAACAAAGTCAACACTTCTACACCTGCTCCATAAATGCTGTTCAGATGATACAGAAATTGAAGCAAAATGGCCATAAAGCACAAGTAATGAGGTGATAAACAGATACAAGATATTTTAATAGCCATCACAAACATTTCATACCGATTCTACGGCCTCATTTTTTATTATCAGACAGATTGCGGAGACAGACATTAGCACAGCGCAAAAAGGACGCGCGTTCAGGACATACCTGCGAAATCATTCCAGGAGGAATGATAATAAAACACAAATATCTGAAGGAGGAACATCAGTAAAACAAATGAGATGTTAACGTGAAACAGAGTCACTTTCACATTCAACACATTTAAATAATGGCTTTTCACAGCATTTAAAATAAACACCCTCGGATTATGTTCTGAACCAAATGAGTTTGAATACGTCGTACGACGAGCTCCGTGATGGACGGCAACACTACGGAACAAACAAAGCCTTTTTTTTTATAAAAATGAGTTTGCTTTCCAAGAGAACGAACGCCGACCGACTCCTGGCTGATTTGATCAATTCTGTTAATAAATGAGCTTCAGAAAGCGGCCGCCATGACAGCTCCGTGGATTGATTGCTCATCAGGTCAGTTAAACGCTGGCAGCGTTCACTTGTTAACTTAAACAAAGATGTCACATGTGATACGTCAGCGACGGCCGATCCAATCACCCGCCTCATCTGGACGGCTATTCACGGCAGAGCAACGAGGTCACGGAGGTCGGCGAGCGGAGCCAGAGGTGAGAGGGGAGTCCACCCAAGGAGGCTGACCATGAATTGTATTTGTCCAGCCTCGGTGTCCAATTAGAGGAACAGGCCTGCAGCTGCTCGGGTCAAATGAAGGTGTCAACAGTGATTTCAACTGTATCTGTCGGGAGACTGTTAACGGGAGTTCACTCCTGAGTAACAGCGGGAGTCACGACAGACGGGCGGCCGGACAAAGACTTCAAGGTCAGCAGCGGTACTTGACCAACAACTGGCCACAGTGTGACTCTCATGTTAGTCAGAAATGTACGACATCAGCTCTTCCAGCAAGTTTGTGTTGTTTTGCTGTTAGCAAGAAAGCTGTTTTATTCTGTCAGTTTATTCACCGCACATGAAGATTTCTCTAAAACAAGCTAAATGCCTGAAATCATAAAAAGTTCTGACTAAAAAACTTAAATAAATTGACATTTTCATGATAGGGCGTGGCCTTTATGATCATGAAACGCTCATTAGCATCAAGCTAGTCAATCTCACGTGTACGGGAGCAGCCTTTGGCCGTGACGGGCCGTTCCACTCTGACTCACGTCTGGTCTAGAAGTGACTCCAAGGTGAGAGGTGTTGTGGTCAGCTGTTTGCTCTGCGGTCAGTCAATGTTAAACCCCCACCAGCAACAGACAAACTGGTGCAGACAATGTTAAGATTAGCAACAAACTAGGACAGACTGAGAACTGATGGTCCATTTCTTTCCCTCCAGAGGCTCACTTCCTTTTCTTGCGCATCCTTTTGGAAATGCACAGAGAAGCACTTAAAGGTGACAAAACAGCAAAAATAAATACGTAATAAAAAACGTAAACGCCTTCTTCGGCGACTGCAGCTTCATCACGTGTGTCCGTGCGCTTGATTAGGACCAACGATAAAGGATTCGGTTCCATTCTTGTTCCTGTTCCTCGTGATTATGAATATCCCTCACGCACCACAAGTGTAGTTTGTAGCATGTGTGTACTTTTAAGGAAAACGGTGACACTGCTCTCTCTCTTCCTCTCTCTCTCCCTCTCTCTCTCTCTCTAATCCTGCAAAGTTTTGGAGATTGTGAAGGACTGAGGGAGGCCCATCAATCCTGTCGTCCTTCTAATGGGCAGCTGGGGTTAACGCAGTCTGAGGTTAATTACTCTCATATCATTGCAAGCGCACGTGTGTGTGTTTGTGCGTGTGCGAGTGTGTTTGTGTCAGTAAGCGTCGCTCCTGGGCGCCCCCATGTGCTGAATACCCATCTCATCAATCATCCCTGCGTGGCTCAGTGGAGAGGAAGTGGTACAGAAATAACGGAGGAGGAAGTCCTGACTGATGCTTTCTAAAATGAAGAGCTCCACCTCTGGCCCGGGACCTGACCCTGGACAGCCAGGGACATCTTCAGGAATCTGACCTGGAATTAGGAGTCTTTGACAGCTGAGTCACCACACACACACACACACACACACACATTGGTTTTGTGTGTGCAGTACGGCTGTGTTTATTAATGGATTTTGATGACGTAAGGCAGGGGAGTCAAACTCAGGCCCGGGGCCCAAATCTGGCCCGCAACGTAATTTTATTTGGCCGACGAGATCATATCAAATGTGTGCCAGAATATAGCCCCGATAGAGGATTTTTGTTTGTTTCCATATGAAAAAGTTTGACATTACAGATCTGGAGAAAAGGAAAACATGCAGAATTGCTGTCAATTTCTCAAGTTTGGCCGGCAACTTTGTTCCAGTTTTTAATTTTGGCCCACTGTGAATTTGAGTTTGACACCCCTGACTTAAGACAAGGGTGCCAAACATACGGTCCGTGGGCCAAAACCGGCCCGCTTGGAGATTCAAACCGGCCTGCTTGATGAATTATGAAAATAAGGAAAACATGCAGAATTGCTGTCAATTTCTCAAGTTTGGCCGGCAACTTTGTTCCAGTTTTTAATTTTGGCCCACTGTGAATTTGAGTTTGACACCCCTGACTTAAGACAAGGGTGCCAAACATACGGTCCGTGGGCCAAAACCGGCCCGCTTGGAGATTCAAACCGGCCTGCTTGATGAATTATGAAAATAAAAAATATAAAATCAGGAAATGTTTTGATAAATTATATTTCATTAAATATGACCAGGGACCGTGCGAACATCAACACTCTCAGGGTGCCTCGTCTTTAAGGACCAGGGACCGTGCGAACTCCAACACTCTCAGGGTGCCTCGTCTTTAACCTCACCCTCCCCCATCGTACATGCAGTACATCTACAGATGTGAATGACACAACTCCCCCTGTAGTTCTGGTTTTACCGTCACTGTTCCTGCTCTACAGACTCACACTCCTCTGACGGCTGTTCATTTAATCTTTTCACACGTGAAAAGTGTAAGTAAGGAGTAATAAGTACAGAGTGACTGTTGACAGAGTGGAGACGGAGGGACGGACGTTTTTAAAAAAAAAAAACTTCCATTAATCACCGTCTGACCACATCAAACTGGGATAATCACCTAACGCCGCAGCGCTCAGACGGAACGGGCCCGAACCCAGGGGAC